TGGTGGTGAGCGAGTGGTCCAGAGACGAGTGACGCCAGCGAAGCGGTGCAGTTGCAGCAGCGCACACTGGAAACAACTCATGAAAAAGGAAACAAACGATATGCTGGATGGGCTGAAAGAAACAAGGGTCGACTGCATCTTGGATTGAAAAGAAAGTTCGGCAGGGGGTGCTAGATAGGTAGATAATGCCCCTGCTCTGATCGGTATGCTTGCTGCCTTTCTGCTATGCAGATGCACGGTATCGGCACCTGGCGGCCTGATTGGATTGGGGGGAGGCTATGTGGGTGGGACTAGAAGGGGGTAGGCTGTTGATGTCATTGACTTTGCAGGCTCGCCGGGGCACATGTTTTGAGGAAGCGGGTGTGCGGCGCCGACGCTTTTCGGCTGCGAGGAGGTATGGCTAGGACTAGGAGGAGGGGTCTCCAATGGCGTGAGACGCATGTGGACGGGTTCTAGACTTTACAGACAGAAATGCCGTGCGCGCGCGCGTTGTGTTTCTCATGACCCTAACTTATTCTGGCCGATCCAGATCACCCATGACAGCGCTCGACAACGACTTCACGATCGAGACTGCGGTAGTCAAATACCGACATATACGAGATCAGACGAGCACGCCATCCTTGCCTTGATAACGCTCACCGTGGAGCGTCGAGAGTCACCGCAGCTGGGGGAAAACAGGCGAGACACACATCACGACAAAGATTTCGACTTCGCTGCCCAGTGAAGCATGACCGGGGCTCGAGTCATTTACTGGTTCCGCACCGATTTGCGGTTGCACGATTCACCTGCCTTGACGGCGGCGCTGGAGCTCGAGCCGGCGGTGCTGTGGCCTGTGTTCACCTGGGATCCGCACTACGTGTACCGCGCACGCGGCGGCCTGAACCGGTGGCAGTATCTGTAAGTCTGACATCTGGCTGGTTGATGCCACTGTTCTCATTATGATCGGGGCGTCGGTTTCCTCAGTGCTCGCGGCTGACCAGTGCAGACTGGACTGTCAAAATGACCTCTCAGCTTCAATCACCAAGCTGAATCCCAAGTCGAAGCTCTTTGTACTGCGCGAGGGTCCACAGACGCTGTTCCCCAAGCTTTTCAAAGCCTGGAAGGTCACGCACCTTGTCTTCGAGAAGGACACGGATTCGTACGGTCGTGAGAGGGATGGCGTCGTCGTGGCGGCGGCGCGGGAGGCCGGTGTCGAGGTCATCATGCGTAGCGGTAGGACGTTGTGGGACAGCGACGATATCGTCAGAGCGAACGGAGGCAAGCCAACAATGAGCATGTCACAGCTGCAGAAGGCCGGCTCTCGGGTCGGCGACATCCCGCGACCCGTGGCGGCGCCCACGAAACTGCCGGATCCGGGAGAGATGCCCGTCGACTTCGAGCAGGAGAGACCGGACACTACGCCGGACTTTAACGCCGCGCAGAGGACTGTTGAGGCTGGAGACCAAGGCTACGCGAGCATAGCTGGGCCCAATGGCGACTTTGGCATCGAAACAATGGAAGAGCTGGGTTTCCCGAGCGCCACCACCCCGCACCGAGGGGGCGAGTCGAGAGCACTGGAGACTCTGAAAGAGGTCATGAAGGACGTCAAGTATGCGGCCACGTTCCGCAAGCCGCAGACGAGCCCTGCGGCATTTGAGCCGCAGTCGACAACGCTCTTGTCTCCGCACATGCACTTCGGCTCATTGTCTGTCAGGGAGTTCTACTGGCAAGCTGTAGATGCTGTCAAGGCATTTGGCAAGGGGGCATCAGGTCCGCCGGAGAGCCTGACGGGCCAGCTGCTGTTCCGCGACATGTACTTTGCTGCACAGGCAGCGCTGGGTTACAAATTTGAGCAGACCAGGGGCAATGCGTACTGTCGATTCATTCCTTGGCATCTGCCGAGCAAGGTGAACACCGAGACTGGACTCATCACGGGGCAGTATCATGTTGACTCTGAAGAGGCGGACCTGTGGTTCCGCCGGTGGAAGGCTGGACAGACGGGATTCCCGTGGATCGATGCTCTAATGCGACAGCTGGCGGAGGAGGGCTGGATTCACCATCTCGGCCGGCATTCGGTGGCGTGTTTCTTGACGCGGGGCGGATGCTACATTGACTGGGAGCGCGGGTGCGAGGTGTTTGAGGAGTGGCTCATCGATCATGAGCCGGCGTGCAACGCAGGAAACTGGCAGTGGTTGAGCTGCGCTGCCTTCTTTTCCCAATACTTCCGATGTTATAGCCCAGTGTCCTTCGGGCAGAAATGGGACAAGGAGGGCCTGTTTGTGCGACGATGGGTGCCGGAGCTGAAAGACCTGGACGCCAAGTACATTTACGAGCCGTGGAAGGCGCCGAAGCCTGATCTTAAGAAAGCGGGGTCAAGCTTGGTGCAATGGCCTCGACGATAGGGAGGAGGGCACATATCCGAAGCCCATGTTTGACTTCAACGAGCGACGAACAGCGTGCTTGGCCGCAATGAAGAAGGCATACGGGGTCGCACTGCACGGGGCGGACGATCAGGTGGCGGACGGGACGTGGAGGGACATGTTCGATGATGACAATGGCGAAATGATGGACATGTTCGAAAGCGACGATGGCGAGCACGCTGATCATGGCCACGACCAAGAAAGCGAGCCACCAAAGAAGAGGGCAAAAAAGGAGGCAGACAAGATCACGCCTGCCAAGCATGCTGCGACGGAGGGCAGTGCCGAACAGCACGCGTCCAGGGGTGCCAAGGGTGCCAAGGGAGACAAAAAGCGCCAGACGTCCATCGCAGACCATGTTCGTCGGGCCAAGTAGCAGCAGATGGGCTGCAACGTTGAGGGATGTGCTGGGCGTTGTTGTTGCAGTTGAGTGGTCCCATGGCTCTGGTGATGCTCGCCTTTACAGCATCTAAAGTTATAGCGGGCTCCGGCTAAGCGCAGAGGTCCAGTCTTGATACTTGCGGGTTTACTTAGGAGATGTTTGCACCGAGAATATTTGTTTTGTATAGAGATTCCGTGGGCCTCGGTAGAGAGCAATCTCAGATGACGAGTGCGCTATAGCGACTGTATGCTCGAGCCACCCAGGTGAGCGAGCTGGTGGGGCCGATTGATGCCATGTGCACCAGTAACGCCATGCGTCAAATGGATTTCCTGTAGGCAGTCGAATTCGAATCAACCATTTGATTTGTCATGTTAGCAACCGAAACGCGACGACGTAGAGGAGGAAAAGAAGAGGAGTGACGACGACGGAGCATGAGAGAAGGATAGGCATCTCGCAATTTGGTGCCTGAAGTCCAGCTGCTTCTGACGCCAATCAAAAGCCATCCAAAGTCTCCAGGCAGCTTTACCCCGATTGATTACGGCCAATGGCATACCGTGTGGCGTCACGCCAGTTGAGGCAGCCAACGTTGTCCTTCAGCCTCCGTCGCAACTGCCAAAGCGAGCTGCAAGGTACGAAGCTTGGTCGTTGCGTCCTGCCCACGACACACGGCACTTCCTGCCCATCTTTGCGACATCAGGACACACCTGCCTGAGCACATGAGGAAGCTACGCTTGCTCTTTTAGTCCTTAGAGCAAGCCTTCTTGGCTGCCTTGACTCACCCGGCTGCCTCACATGAGAAAGCCTTAGACTCCCAGGCGGCATTCCGTTCTGCCATCCCCAGGTTTCATACCCCTTTCTGCTGCTTCATTCACGCGGCCAAGCGGTTCGTTTGCCACACATATATAAAAGACGGGACAAATTTCCTCGTGCCTCAAACTACCTCTCTACTCCTGTCATCACTTCATCTTTTCACTTGACCCGACGTGCAAACGTACATACAATCTATCGCCAGCGACAGCCCCGCCCCAGGCCAAACCATTCACCATGGTCATCATCGCCGTTCCACCACCAGGGGACGACATTGTCGACGTCCTCCCCGAATCCAATGCTGTAGAGAATACCACCGAGACACTACCAGACAATAGAAAGCTCACCGTCAGCTTGCCCAGCCTTGACCATGACCACGGTTATAGCCGCCCTGGCTCGATCACCGTCGCGCACGGAAACACCAAGGATGCCTTGACCCTGACCCTCAACCGCACTATCCGCGTTCCGGACAACCAGGATATCAATGCACTACCGCCATCCTGCGGCCAATTCCCGCTCTACCGCGTTCGCGACTACGCACGCAACCTCCCTGACAACATGGTGCAGAAGGGCGGGCTTTTCTTCCCCATGTACCAGCGCGAGGCCATGTGGATTGCCTTCCACGCCAGCCACCCTTTTGCCATCAAGATCTACGTCGGGGGTGTCAATGCCGTCTCGGGCTTCCCAATGACAGAAAACGATAAGACCCGCCAGAAGCGCGCTCGCATGTTGCGCGCCTCGAAACAGATCCAGGACTACATGGTTGTCCCTGGGCAGCCCTGGCTCGATGGCATCGTCTCCGAGGACGGCAAGATTCGTCAGTTTGTCGCCCAGCCCAAGGGCTCCGGTTTTGCCGTTGAAGCCCAGGTGACCGGCGAGGAAAAGGTCGGCGGCATTCAGATCGAAATAATCCCCGCCAAGCGCAACACCCCTACCCAGTTCGACGTTCGCTACGAGGACCGCGAGCAACGGGTCGTCACACGCATCTTCAAGCTAGCCGACCGCGGCATTACCGCCGAGAGCACGTGGGAAGACGTCAAAAAGATCATCCGCGATGAGTTTGACATTGCGCTGAACGACCAAGTCCTCTCTGACCACAACGAAAGTGGCGCCTCGGCTTTTGGATCTCGCCACGCCTCCATTAGTTTCGACAACGACGTCAAGCTTGGCGATGTCTACTTCCCGCCCAACTTTTCAACTTTGTCTGTGAAAAATCGGCCACCTCCAGCGCGCCGGGATTTCCCTGTCGCCAGGACAGCACCCTTCCAAAGTAGGTCACTTCAATCCAGTTTTGCCGAACACTCAAGTCACATCTGTGTTCTGTTCCATTCTACTCACTGAGTCCATCCTAAGGGACATGTCATTTCGCACAGTCGTCACTTGTTATGCTACTATTTCTCTCATTCCTCCTTACTAACTGTTGGTCTCAGGTTTCAGTGCCGCTCTTTCCCCTCCCGGTGCCGCTCACGCTTTCATGGCAGACATGCAGTATGACTCTAGTGAGAACTTGTCCTTTGGTGCTGCTGAAGGCTCCGCCATGCTTTTCGGAGGCGGGCCGCCACCGCCACCACCACCAGCTCCCATGAGCGTACTCAGGAGCGTGCGACACGAACCCGCTCAGCCCAAACCTTCGCCCCAGTCCAAGGCCCAACCCAAGGCTGCCGTGAAGGAGATGGGAATCGCCGCAGGTGGCCTCATTACCCAGACCATTAACCCAGACGCATATCCCGCCGACTCATGGGATTCTTCGGCGTCCGTCATGCTGAACTTGCAAATTCTCGATGTGGCGTCTTACTCTGCCGTCACCGGCTTGCCAGCGCCCACCACTCCCGTCAATGGCGAAGAGTATGCCCGTCACGGCTATCCGTACTTTGAGATATGGAACGAAGAAAAGACTGGAGTCATGGGCGACTTTGATGAGGTCAAGAGTGTGGCGCAGATGGAGAAAGAGCGCGCCCTCGCCGAGGGCAGGGACGTGCCGCCCGAGGAAAAGAGCGTGCCTGTGCGGATCGTTAAGATTGGGAGTCAGCCCCGGTGCTTCAAGACAACCTTTCGCCCGCTCGAGGTGCTGACCAAGGAGCTGGAAGGGTTGGCGATTGGGCCTCATGACGACTGCGATCTGTGATAACGCTATGTTTGACGAACTGCAATGACAATGGTATGACTTGGAATAGCTTTCCGTTGATCCCTCACATTCTGAATAGTTTTAGTGTCAACGTAACGAAAGCTGCAGGGGTAAACAGGCATGCTCGCCTCGAGATGCTGCATGATGAACTCTCGGGCTCGCGATCTCGAAGCGGATATGAAGTAGATAGGCCATACTTCAGAAATTGACAACCTTGGTCAAAAGAGCACCAGATCCACGCCTATCTCTCTGGCAAATTCATTCCACTTGGAGTCTCCCCCCTCAGCCCAGTACCTTTGCATAAATCTCAGCACGATGAGACAATTCCCCAGCCCGTGCGAGCCCATGGCCGTCATCCTGTCAGCGAGGAAGAGTCGTTGCTCGTCCGTCGCGGCCTCACACCCTGCTGCGAGCAAGGGCCAGAGGAGCGGAATATTCGCCTGGGAATGTTTTTCCATAGCGCAGAGGGAGGAGATCATGCGGTCGACCGTCGACTGGACTTTGGGGTGATGCTTGGGGAGGGCGTGCACGCGGCGGTAGAGGCCTAGAAGGGTCGCGTCTGCAAACAGAGCGTGCGTGCTGCGCAGTTCTGTCTGCGCCTGGACGGTGGTGGCCTGGACGGCCGGAAGCGCGCTGGATCGGACGCCTGCTAGACGCGTTTCCAGAGAGGAAGGGGCATCGGCAGCTGACATGGATACGAAGGGACAGGTTGCCGCCGTTTCGGTCAGCGGACAGGCTGAAGGGGATGAGGGTTGCGCCGGCACTGGGAGGTCCATCTCGGACAGGTCGCAGACTTCGTTCAGGATCGAGACGAGATGGTACGAGAGACCGGTGGATTCGTCGACGTGGCTCGAGGCAGGCATGCTCTGGAGCAGCAGGCCCCAGTCCAGTCCGTAGGTCTCTTGCTGGTGCGTCAGGGGCTGCCCAGAGACTCTGTTCATCAGGAGCAGGTGGACAAGCCACCTGAGACTAAACGCCCACAGCGGGTTGGACCTGTGTCGCCGCCCGTCTTGTCGTACGATGAGGATAGCGCCGTCGAGGTGCTTGCGATACGTTTCCGTGTCGCCGGCGCAGAGACACGTCGTCGCTAAGAGGAGCGCTGTCGGGAGGAAGGCCACGCTTTCGCCGCCCTTTGTCATGGCGCTTCGGAGACCTGCCAGCGTTTCGACGGTCGCCGTTATAGAGGAGGTACGCGAGATTTCGTTGCCCGCGAGGCGGTAGTAGTGGCTGTAGCTTGCGACGAGGAGAGCGCCGAGCATGTAGTCGTGCGTCTCCGCCACGGGGATGACGAACTCGAGGGTCGTGGCCGGCTGGAGGGGGAAGTAAATATTGACCGTGTGGGCGATGAAGTGGTCAAAGTGGAAGCGGTGCCGATCGGTGCGCAGCATAGGGAACGCCGCCGGTCGGTACGTCAATAGGCCTGACGTTGAAGCCGCCGCCGCCGGCGAGGCTCGCTGCGTCCTGCTTTGGACGTCTGTGGGCGGCGCGTCTGCGAGGATGATGGGTTTAGGAGCCGTGAACTGCTTTCTGACTATGCTCAGATCGTACACGCAAAGCCTGGGGAATTTGGAGCATCGCGAGCACACTGGCTTCTGCTCATCACACTACCAGCCGGGTTAGCTGGTATTTATGGGGTCTAGTTGCTTCCTGGGTAGCTATCTGGACGATTACCTTTGCCTTCTTTCTGCGACATTTCCGTGCACCCTGCACGGCGTCTTCGTGAGAGATCCATGATTCATCGTGGATTGACGGCAGCGCTACCTTTTCCTCCTGACGTTACGAACCGGGCCAATGTCCATGTCTTCAAATCGATGGTCTATCAAAGGTCGATGTGTAAAAAGCAGTGCCAGTGGCATCTGGGAGACCGTGTTGCTTCTGTCAGGATTTGCTCCGTCATGTGACTCTCAAACGTGAAGGACTTTCTAACGTACGTGGAACCGACCCCGCAAGCCGTGTTGTCGGTGTTCTATTAGCGGGTGAAGCGGCCTGCAGTTCCGTATCGCGGGCCCGTCACGCCCCTCAACGTCATCAATCACTCGAGATGGTCCTCTACTCATGCCGGCAAACTGACCGGCGCTCTAGCTCCTGATAACTCAACACAATTTTTTGATGGTCATCTTTAGATTGCAGTCCGCAATGTCAACCAACTACACACAAGGCTACTCCAGAGCCACGACCAGTAGCCATGCCGCGCGGACAATCTACTCAGATGCTGCCTTTGTGCTGCCCCTCATTGATCCTGCGGACAGAATCCTTGATGTAGGATGCGGCCCCGGTACGATAACAACAGGTTTCGCGACCATCGTGCCACAGGGCGAGGTCGTCGGCATTGACATATCGGACGAAGTACTTGCGACGGCAAGGTCGTCCGTTCCAGCGGGCTTGAGTAACATCTTCTTTCAGAGGGCCAATCTTCTCGAGGGACTGCCGTTTCTCGGCGACAATTTCAGCGTCGTGTTCAGCTCCCAGGTGTTCCCCCATCTGGCGACTGCCGAAATGAGGACGGCGGCGTTGAAAGAGATGCGGCGCGTGACCAGGCCCGGGGGATTGGTCGCCACGCGCCAGGTGGCCGAGATGCTTTTCTACCCGCGCGCTAGCAGCCTCAATGAGCTTCTCACCGGTAACATGAACAAGGTGTTGCGGGCGGGACAGAAGGATGGGTGGTTCCCCGGCGGCGAGATGCCGGCGCTGTTTCGTCAGCTTGGATTCAAGCCCAACGAAATCAACGTGGGCGCCGGCACGACGGTGCACTCGGGAGAAGAGGGGAGGCGGGCCTTCGGGGCAGGTTATGGCGCACGCTTGAGTCGTAGCGATCCCTATTATGAGAGCTGGAAGAGAGTCGGCATTTCGGATGAGGAGATCGACCGGACAGTTGAGGCACTCAATGTGTGGACGGAGGATCCGGATGCTTGGTGTGTCGTGTTACAGGCCGAGGTTTGGGGCAGGGTCCGGCATTGACGAAGAGACAGTGTTTCTCGGGCCTTATTCAATGCACATTGGCTGTCAACAGTGGAAAGTGGTGGTGCACAATTTGGCTGTCGCCTGTCTTGGCCTCGGAGGTGGTTGCTCATAGGTCATTATTCATCATTGGGGAAACTGATAGAATACTCTTTGCCTTCCCTTGCTCTCTTCTGGACCTCTCTTGAACGCTCTAGTTTCCGTAGTCCATGCCGTCATCGTCAAAGTGAAAGAGTCGCAGGATGGCCGCGGCGATAGCATCGCCGTCGTGCTCAAGGTGACCCGTTTCCGCCGCACGGTCCGCATGATCCAGGTCTTGGATGGATCCCATGTCCACCCTCATCTGAATCTGGCGCTTGACCATATGGTCGTCAAAGGCAAGGTGAGCCTGCGACGTGAACAGACGATTGGGGATGTAGAGGCCCTGGACAGCTGTATGGGGGGAGGAGCCCCAGACCGTGATCTGTGAGTCCTCTGGCAGGAGACCCTCGGCTGACTCCACGGTAGGCGGCGACTTGACCTGGTCTTGGTGCATCTGATGCAGGTGAATCTCGTCGTCGTGAACGCGGAAGAGACGCTTGCCCGTCTTGGTGAGGTCAATCTTGCAGTGCCCGAGTTCCCAGTCGCCTGAGGGCGCGGGACCGACCTCGGCGCCTAACAGGCGAGCGAGGAGCTGATGACCGAAGCAGACACCAGTGAAGTGAAAGTCGAGCCGCTTTGTCCATAATTCTGTGAGATGGTTTCAATACTCGAAGCTCATGCAAATGGAAAGAGATGTTTTCTTACCCTTTAACAGGGAGAGGAGGTCGAGGATCCACTGGTCATCGCCATGGGCGTCGTACACACTGCCAGTGATTAGGAGCCCGTCAAATCTCGCCATGTCATCGAAGGTGGGCAAGACGCCCCCCTTTTCTGTCACAACATGCTGATAATCGACTTCAATTCCGAGTGGAGGGTGGTGCGCCTGACCAGCTTTAAACATGTGGTGGAAAAGAATCTCGCCAAAGGAACCGCGCGATTCAATTGTGTCGGCGTGAGGCTCGTCGGTCTCGAGGACCATGAGCTTTACAATATCATTGCTGGGCGTCTCGTGACTGGGCTTGTAGGTGAGAACCATGCTGGGCCTGATGGTACAATTGAGCAAGCTATTTTGACAAGCGGTTGATATTGGGTGACAATGATGAACTGTATTAAGTAGGTTCCGAAGCGGGCGGGACTGACTTGTTGACCTTTGCAAGCTACCTAAGTATACTCTTATACCGCAACCGGTTCAAGGCCAGGTGACGCGTTCATAGCGAGGGTGCACGAAACATAAGAAGTTCGTCCAGAGCGCCAAGGCGAAAAATTGTCTTCGTCATGGCGATGGATGTCTCTCCCCTTCCTCTCCATTGTGTCCTTCGCCTCGGGAAGAGTTCTCATTGACGTCACGACGGACCTGTTCCTGCAGCGGGTTCCTCAGAGTCGTCTTCCATGCACTCATTGACAGGTCTCTGTCCCGCTTTATTCCTCATTTTCATAACCTAATGCTCCGATTCCTTAGCCGGTGGGACCATTGCTAGGATTCTCGGCGAGAGGTTTAGGCTGGGGACAATGACGATGGTGGGGTGATGTGGCGGGTCTTCATATTTCTAGGCATTCTTAGGCGTCCTTTTTGAGCCTGAAGCCGTAAGAGAGCGCTGCAGGGCTGACGAATTCAGGGTCAGACTACGTTGACCAAGCCTGTGCCACGCGTTGAAATCAAGACAATGGCTCTTGTACGACACCCTAAAGCCCTTGGCGTCCTCAGCACTCCCAGCGCCGTAAGGCAAACCTTCTCCAAAACCTCTCAGCCCGGCTAAGAGGCCGGGGATAGAGGCTATTATGTGAGGCACACTGCGGGCTCAATACTCTTGTTTCTTTACCCATCCAGGTTCGACTATCGTTGTCCGAGATCATCGTCGACCGACTCGCCAACATAGGGACAAAGCCAAACCAAATGCTACAGACAAGGCGGCTGCCCCGAGGCAACCGTATTGACAAACACGCAGGCCTGATGGTGCGGCTCTACAAAAGGTGACCCTGTTGCTGCTCACTCTCGATTCCTGCTGGCATCAGCAAAATTTGATACTTCATCACAAGGCAATCAAGCAAGCAGACCACATCCGTCCCCATTCTTCAGAAAAGAAGCATAAGTATCACCAAAATGAACTCTTTCGGCAGCAACAACGAAATCACCAATTCTGCATGGAACTTCGACGGACTTCCAGACGACGTGCAGTCGATCGCATCGACGAACGAGTCCTTCGCCCCCAACCATCCTGGAGGCCCGTCGCGCAGCAGGAACGTAGCTCCAAGCCTGGCGCTTGGCAATTCTCGCAGCATTGTTTCCTCTGACAGTCCTGGAAGCGGTCGTGATGCATCGAGCGCATCGAGCCCCCATCTGTTGAGTACTGTCAGCTCGAATCCTGGCAACAGTTACCCCGACATGCCCTCATCCGCACAATTGAACGCCAGGTCCAGATCTCATGCTGGGGCACTTGGGCTATCGATACGGGACTCCAATAGGGCGAACTCAGTCTCGCCCTTCCGCCAGGATCATATCCGAGATTTTGGTACTACCCAGGTAAGTGACGATGACAACTACATCGTTCTCGATGACGATGGAAGGCGACCCGTCGAATATACTTTTATGCAACCTGGGACTGCTCACAGCATAGGTAACCTATCACATGGGCAGGCGCCACTCTGGATGCACGAAAATGACGCCGACGACGATGATTCCGACATAACCGAGATTGATCATGCACCGAGGTACTACGATGCTTACTCTCGTGGCGGCCAAATTGACCATACTCCTTCAGTGGCTCAAGCTCCCCTTAGCAATGCTGGAAGCCGCAACAACAGTAACACGCATTCTGAACCTCCCCGCAACCGCGTTGCTAATCCTGCAGGCATTGACGCTGTAAGCAACGATGAAGGTAATAGTGGTATCAATCAGAGAAACGAAGGTCAGTCGGCCGCTTTCTGGCCAGATCTGCGACCTCTCCTGACTGATGAAGCCGCCATCCGGGACCTTCACCTTCAGTGTCCCATCTGCTACGATGCATCGGATGACATGCGTGTTTTGAGTTGCGGACACATACTTTGCAAAGATTGCTTGTACCGCGTCCTCAAAAATCGAGACGGCGCACGTGGCAGCCCACGAGGCCGCAGTCGTGAATGTCCCTTCTGCAGGATTCAACTCGGCAAGAAGCGAGGCTGTCATCCCAACTGTCCGCAGGACAAGTCATGGACCGTCGGCCTCCGCGTGCCTGCATCGATGGTTGAACTGTCTCATTTCCCCCTGACAATTGCAGAAGGTGGCGGCAAGCCGCTGTCTTGCACTGACTGCCGCGAGGGCCGCGTAATGAACGCTTTCAAGCGTCTTTGCCAGGAGTTGCTCAACGACAAGCATGCGCGAGTGGCCATCTCTGATGGAAGCCAGGCTGCCAATGTCGTCCCAGATACGCACACAGCAGTGCCTGAAATGCAGACGATGTCTGATGCTGTCATGAACGTGCTTTACAGCCCTGAATTCTGCACCAAGTACGCTGGAGTACAGGCCCCTGTGATGCGCAAACGTGCCGCAGCAGAGTTCACCAAACGCCGCTAACTTCACATTTTCCGTCATCGCGTCTCACTGTATGGGCGCTGCTTATATGCTCCCGGTTCAGAGAATGTAGGTATATGGAAATAAGATAAAGAAAGGATGTTCTTTTGCGGCTATGAAAGATCGATCAATTAGTGCCCGCTGATTCTCATTGTTGTAATCCGTAGTGCTCTCAGTGCCAGTCAATCCGAGGGAGTGTAGATGAACCAAATCGATCAATCGGAATTTTCTATCGTACGCAAGTTTACCCAGTTGACAGACTGGTCTTATGGAGGTTGCCCAAATCTCAACTTCGATGCTCTGGACCGCGTAGGTATGTACGCATCATGACCTTGAGTTACTTAGACACTCTTTACAGTCTGATCGAAGATAGGAGTAGCAGGAAGAATCTCTACCAGATATCACAGATTCATATCCGGTTATTCCACAGCTGGTAATCTCGCGAGAAGACTGTCTAATTGAACGTTAAGTTGTTTAAAGGTAGTGTATCCAGTTCTCCCGAGTCAGCCAGCTCCCCGTTCATGACACCAGGAATGAATGCTTCGCCTTTGAGTTTGAAAACAATATCGTCAGTGTCTTCGGGAGCACCGTCCGGTATGACTACAGTAGCAATCAAAGGTCGGCTGTGATAGTATAAGATGATTACCACATCTCCTTGCTGAGTCGAGGCTGGCACAAGACCCATAAGGGCTCGGTTCGACGTTGTCATCAGCCGGCGTAACCTGGTGCGCGCTTCCATGGCCCGGTGAGCTTCCGCAATCTTGTGGTACGAGTGCTCATCGGAGCGGTTGAGCCTATTGAGATGGGATTGCTGGACAGGCTGAAAGGTAAAGTAGGATGAGAGTGGCTTGCCGGCGATGGGGAGTTCACGGTTGGCTTGGATGAAGTCCCAGTTTCTCTTGTACAGGAAGCTATCATCACGGTGCAAAGTTTCTGAAGCAGAAAGGTCAGCAATGAGAATGTATATCTGACATCATAGATTATTGACTGACCAGGAAAAGAGTCGAGTAAACAGCTGAAACTCGCTGGTGCCACCTTGCCGTGCGTGCCCGTTCCCCCGACAAGTGTGGACCATATCTGGTTAGGAATCGACTGCGGATTAGACTCCGATCCAGCGTACCTAGAAGGATGATAGGGAGTTTGCCCTTCCTGGGCGGTTTTCCAATCGGGGCAAAAACGCGGCGCGACAAAACCCCCTTTGAACAGAGGACCTGGGACCAAGTAAGACATGTCCGATTCGTTCAGGGCCCCGAGGCCATCGACAGTGTCGATGACCCAGCCTGGGCAGATCATGTCATCACCCTCAAACTTCGGTGCCATGTTCGTCTCAAACTCGAACGACTCGAAATCACCTGGTTTGTACTTTGGACGAGAAGGTTGGGCATGCCACTTTCCTTCGATGCGCCCGATTTTGGACTTGACATGGAAACGTGGACACCATGACGGCACAGTCCTTCCTTTATCGGGTGCAGAGCTTCCACCATCAATCAAAGAGAATATATCGAGTGAATGGTCGGCTTTGATGCAAGCTTTGGCGTATTGGAGATAAATATCCGTCGCAGAGAGACGGGAAAACTCCGCGTTATTCTGTAGTGGAAGCTTCTCGAGGGCAGGCAGTGCGAGGAGTCCAAGCACTCTATCCTTATCAAAGCCACAATGAGCATCCGCAGCAAGGGTGAGAGATTGGTGGATGGGAGAGCCTGGGAAGTTGTTCATGAGAGGCATCCGGACGCCCGTCGCCGTAAGCATTGGATGAGATGAGTGGCTCTGGACATCCATGACCCCGGGTTGAAGCATGAGCAACAGCTTATCGGTGTGCGGTATCTCCTTACGGTTGCCGAACATGGCGAGTTCGGCGATGGCAGCGACGTGCTCGAAAGAAGGTTCGCGTTTTGTAGACCGGCCACTCGCTGCCAGTGCTCGCTGCATAGAGTCGCGTACCGCATCGGCCATCATGGATAGCAGCAGCGCTCCGTCCCGGACATAGCGCCACTGAGTCACGATATCTCCGCAGAGAATGGGCGCGCTGCTGTGTGCCATTGCCAGTTCCTGAATGATCCACAGTCGCCGCCAGTACGGGCGGTCGAAGAAGTCGTAGAGCGAAACCATGGCATAATCGGTATCCCCCTGCCGCGCTGCTTTCCGCATGTCGTCTTGTGCCCCTTCCACCCATGCGCGGGCCGCTTTCTTCAGCTCTAATTCTGCCTGAAATCTGTGGGAATGCGCAATTGTAGGCTCGGCATGATCGAGAGCTTCGTAGTATTCTGTGCGATAGTTGACGCCAACTTCTTGGAGGTATTCAAGAACCCATGGCGTGTCCTCGTCGTGATGATATCCGCCGCCGGCATGGATGATGATGTTGCCCGCTTGGCGGTATATGACCGACATGAGAGGGAGCTGCCTCGCCTGGTCTTTGAGTCCAGCCTCGGTCTCGTATTGCTGATTGATGCACAAAGCATCGTTCCATAACCAGATGCCTTCTTTGAATGGCGCCATCTCACGGAACGCCAGCAAAGCAGCCCATAGATTGTAACGCACTCTGACCCGCTTGCCGTCCAGAATGACTTCGTGTACGTCGCCGTCCGTGTAAGTCCCCGCGTCGTCGTCTTCGTCGGTCACCGCGGGCTTGTATGTAGGGTCCAATCGCTTTTTCTCGTTTTCCTCCTCCTCCTTGCGAGCAGCCTCTTCCCTCTCCTTTTCTGTGAATTCCCAGTCCTCTTTCTTGCCCCAAGAGTAAGACATAGCAACATAGTTTCCCCAGGTGAACCTGTTGCGCACTTTCGGCTCTCCGTCCGGAATCTCACTGAGGGGAACTAATGTGGTATCCTGCTTGGCTGTGCCCGGCTTAGGTTTCAACTTGGTGATGAACCGACTCATTCTTCCTCGATGCTTCGTTGCGGGTGTTTGTTGACCCTGCGGACGAGGTATTGAGCATCTTGCAATGCCAAAAATCTCCTGTGGTCGATCCAGATTCATCTCCTCGTCAAAGCGCACAGAAGGCCTTCCAGTTGGTATTGGACTCTCACCAGAGACCAGTTGCGACGCATCCAGACTCACCACCCGCATCCTCAAGACAATCCTGTTCTCGGTAGGATGGCTGTCGCCAATGCGCGGTTGGATTTGGATGAGCCGGATTGCGAGGGGCTCATCACGGTCATCAGGGAGAGCGTATTTCGACGCGTAGTCGGGATAAGAGAATTCGCTGTCGTCGGACATTATGATAAGCTATTTCCCTGCAACCAGGCGATCAGGAGTCGATGTACGAGAGTGTGAGCACAGGTTCATGGCGCTCGGCGGAATATATGCACCTTTGCCGAGGGCGATTCGTGATCTTGTGTGCATACGAGCTGAAATCGGGACCACTAACGAGTACCTGAACAAGGCACGAGACAGGAATTCAGGGCCTTCCATGCACTACTGAAACCCGTAGCCTTGCAAATGAGACACTCGACCAATTCCACTGGCAGAAACGACAGGGTCGAAGAGCGTGGCGTGTTCAGCCGCACAACGTGCCGCTTATCTTGCTCGCCTATAATAGGCCCCTCCAAACAGCAATGGTTCCCAGGTCCCCAGGCCATCAGGAGGCGTGAAGGGCGGCAGAGGAATACGGAGATCAGGGGTGTTTTCCAGCTTGATGACCTCGTACATACCCCATAGCCCCGCACCGCCCCGAGGCACCTTAACTCTGATAGGTACTCTGAGGCTGGTGCAACGACCATTCTTGGGAAATAAGAGCCTTATCATCTGTGTGAAGGCACATAATTGCGTACGCACAATTGAAGCCAAGAGGATTAGTTGTGCAACCAGCCCATGGTACATCTACCTCTGGTTGCCATTCGTAGATGTTTTGTTTCAACCTCTTGTGCAAACTTGTTCGGTGGCGTCCATTACGCCATTTACCGTCGAACAAAGCGCATGTTGGTGACATCCCAGTTTTCAGACCACCAGGCTTGCGACAGGATGAGACCCGACGAATCTGATCACCGAGCGGAGCAAAGAGTCGCCGAAATGGTACTCCTTGGATGCATCACCAGCGTGAGCCAACTGCAAGTGCTTCAACTGGGTGTACCTCCTGTCGCCTGGATTGGACCAAATCTGCATGCCAGGTCTCGGCCCGGGCCCCATCTAGGGTGGTGTACATACACCATCGTGACCTCTTGAGAATGATTGACTGGGTGCCCAGATTGTAGGCCTTTGATAAGAGGTCCATTACATGGCGCGGGATTTGCTGCTCAGTCCTTGGTTCCAATAATAAGCCTTCTAGCCCACTTACCAACACATCTTTTTCTCACGATGCCCAGCCTTGTGTAAGCACTCGATGTTTCAGTAGAAACATCGCAAGAAACGTCCTATTCTCATGTCATTCACGCAGATGATATCTACAGATGCAGTTTCTGTGACTACGTACGAAGTAGCGACAGCCACAATTGCTGCTCGACAAGAACGTGTCCTTACGCAGACAATACGTTTGTCAACGGCGACATTTGTTTCACTCTTCACGCTCGGAGTTGACTCCGACGACGATACTGTCGGACCACCTACAGACACCATGCCGGCCCCCAACTACGACAACTCGCTATCGAGCGCCGAAATTGGTGGCATCCTAGGAGGCATCGTAGCAGTCGTCGCCATAGCGCTGGTGATCTGCTTCTGTATGACGTACAATCGTCAGCAACGCCGCCGCCGTCGCCCTCCTCATGAATACTATTATGACGATACGACAGAAAGTTCCGATACCCATACGACGGTGCCAAGGCGCCAACGTTATGTACCTCCTCCGCCCCCCCGAAGGCCAACTCGGCAGTCTCGTGCCCAAAGATCACAACCTTCCATGCCGGCACCACCGGCACCTACATTTAAGATCAACCGGGGCCCAGCCTGGGATCCCAAATATTCGGGTCCCAGAAGAACAACGAGATGAGCGAGGCATTTCTTTTTCACAACTTTGTTCAGAGTCTTTTTGAGCGAAATCGCGATTTTCTTTTGGCTTGGCGGAGATGACTGCAGCCTTGCAACTTGGTGAAGTCAAAGAGTCGCATATCATCCGAGCTCAGATTGACACCACTAGCAACCAGCAGGGATCATGAGTGTTGTCTATGGAGCACGAAGACAGAACAATGATCCACAGTCACCTCTTCCAGATACGATATGATTTCCAGTCACGATGTCCCCCAATTTTTGATGTAGTAACTTTGAAATTATGCATTAACTAACTTAACTGTAACGGTCGGTTGGATGCTGGATTGAAGTGGGATGAAAGACGTTCGCGAGCTATGGAGCAACAGTCCCGTGCAATGCTCCCCTTGCTGAATGATTTCTGGAATAGAATTTGCCATACCTGATTTTCTTCTTTTCTCAAGTTGCCTGATTTGGAAATCTTAAGTTTGTTGTTTCGTAACAAGAAGGTACGGGCTCAAACAGCCGCTTTGAGGGTTCTGTGAAAACTTCATCAGGCGACATAGGGTCGGCCGTTTTATGGGGGGTCTACATACAAAGGATGAAGAAGATGCATGGCCGCAAACACTCAAGCATGACCAGGCGCAAGCTGAACTGCCCTAAACCCCTCGGCAGGCTGAATTCTGCAATGACGAGAAATTATTTGAGCACGATCATTGACTTATTTCACTGTGGAAGTGAATCTAGAGCCAGTCAGGGGCTTTACCTGGATACCCTATTTAAACCTAGGCAAACTTTAAATCAGCCTCTTAGTAGTGAAACTCGACTTCCACCTGCAATGCTTGCTTCTGTCCAGCCACCTCGACGACTCGGTGAGGGGGGCGCTCGCAACCTACTATGGAAAGAAAAGCTTGGCGGGGATTCCCCCGTTCGAGGCTATTTTTCGGCAACAATCTTACAAGCCGAACCAGGCCAACCATAATGACGGAGATATTTGACACACAACAATGGCTTGCCTCCTTTTACCACTGGGTGGCAGCAAGAGCCATGTAGCAGACACAATGGCGTTCACGCAAGCTTGGAAGGAGACCCACTGCATACTTGATCATGGTTCAGAAAGGTATCGTGGGCGCGCGGGATCACACTGATCGTGTGAGGGCTGCCACTAAGCTCTTCTAGGGCCAACCGTAATCGTTACCTCGAAAGTGCCATGGAACTAAGATAAGTGGCCGCTTTGCCTTTCATGAACGCTGATCCTACTAATATGGGCCATTCTCTGGCTTTTCTTTGGAGAAAGTAAGTGCAAACAATTACTGCACCTTTCTTGACCGAAACACACACTGTTGCCAGGTCAAGAGGTCTTCTTCATTACACGGCCTCAGCTTGATCTGTGCAGATCAGTTCCACCATTGTGTCCCATTGCTTAGCATTGAGCAAGTCTCACATGATGCCTCACACAGATCATGGCCAACCGCGTCCAATCACTACTTTATCCATCATGTGCTTTCGAAGCTGATTCAATAGGGGCTCACTAAAACGAAGTGATCTATCTATTTAACCTAGCTATGGTAGCCATTTCGATAACACTCGATATTGCTTTTATGTGTTGTATCAATACCTCACCCAGAGATATGAGAGGCGAATTTCGTGCACTTCAGTGCCCTCTAATACTTCCTCAAGTGTGTTCATTTTCGAATTCTAACGTGCATGATTGAACTCTGCATTGAGATGACCATAGCGGAATCCCAAGGCTTGTCAGATCCGCAAGCTCTGAGGTCCGCACTCTGTAGGCCGACTATATACAGAGCTCCGACGCGTGCGAAGGCTTTGAAATCCGCCTTGATTGGTTATAAAATCAATCACGGGACAAACTGCCGCGGTCCCAGTTGCTAATCGTGGCAGATCTCAACATTGCAACGATTTGATGAGGCACGATGAGCACGAAGATCGAATACCCGTAGTATGCTAAATTGTAACGACGATGCAAAGATTCTACGACCACGCATAAGTCTCGACCAGGCCTCTGTGTATCATCCTGAACTCCATACATCTACACTAATTCATGTATGACCGAACTCGTGTGATTTCAGCCGCTGCCAGCATTTTCACGGAGCATCTGTAGGATCCCTGTAGCACGTTAGACCGCCATTCATGGCTGCTCTTCAGATTTGAAAACATGCTGCCACTTACCAGTCAGTTACAAGATTTTCGTCCAGGGCGTTCATGGCCGCCATGTCGTTATCCGATATCTCGAACCCATTTACGTTGGCGTTTTCAATAAGACGCTCTTTGCGAGAGCTCTTCGGCAGCGTGACCATATCGTGCTGCAAAGACCACCTGGAGCGTCTTGTTAGCGCATGGCATGTGACGACGTGCATCATAAAGAACTGTTCGGCAATCAAAAGCCTACCTGACAAGCAACTGGGCCGGGCTACACGAATACTTTGTGGAGAGCTGGATAATCTTGGGATGTTCCATCCGCATTGCGCGTGCCAGTGGCGCGTAAGCTTCGATGGTGATATTGTATTTGGAGCAGGTCTCCCTGATGGAAATTTGCGTGTTAAAGGGGTGGACCTCGATTTGATTAATGACTGGCTGGATACGGGGCTTCGATGCCATCAGCTCTTCGATCTACATAGCGCGGTTAGCCTTGAGAGTCGGGCGAATGAATCTCAACAAGACTGACATGCTTGGAGCCGTAGTTGCTGACGCCGCCTAGCTTGATCTCACCGTCATCAATCGCATCCTCGATTGCCTTCCAGCTCGTGAGCCGAGCTTCCTTCCCGCCATAAGGACTGTGAAGTAGAAAAAGGTCGATGTAGCCGAGTCCAGATGCTTTGACCGAGCCTTTGATCGATTTGCGGACTGCATCATATGACGTTCCGTTGCTTGCCAACTTGGAGGTATAGAATACGTCCTCACGAGTCAAGGCATGTGTGTTCTCGCTGCTGGCAAGAAAATCATGAATAGCTTTCCCAGCCTCAGACTCGTTGTGATACATTTGAGCGCAGTCAAATCCGCGATAGCCGGCGGTGAGAGCCCATTTGACGGAAGATGTGGTCTCTCTGCCAGACATCATGTAGAGGCCCAGTTGAATTTGCGGGATCATAGCACCATTTAAGAGCTGGGAGAGTATTAACCAAAGGACCAAGCATGCGTGATACAAGCACTCCCGCGAGTGATGCAACCTAGTGTGTCACATAGACAGCCGATGCGTAACCCAGTAATTGACAGCAGCTGGGTGAGGGGTATGGTCGGACTGGTCTGTAAAGAGCACTGACCTTGGCCTTGGTATCTAAGGAGAACTTGGTAGATGCCATCTTGTTTGCAAATTTGGTCCGGATTTGGCCCCCTTCACTGGTAATCTGATTCAGACGATGTAGGCGAATTGACAAGTCGTCGGGTGACGAGGTGAGAATGTGCCTCGTGCCGAGTTGTTCGCACTATCTGGATGACATCATTTGCGTTCAGAGGTGGGGGCGGGGCAATGGCCCAAAACCATTACATCAAAGTCAACGTCGACTGGGCAAGATATTTTTATGGCGCCCATATCCTTCTAGCTGCGGTGAACACTGCGCAATCTACAATAGCAAAAGTAGGCGGCATACAAATAGGGATGCCCTCAACATATTATCAAGGCTTGCTCTTTGTCTAACACCCTGCCAGTAAGAGAAGCACAGCCAACGCTCTAAGCTAGTCAAGAACTCGACATAGTCAACGGGTGGGCGGAGGATCGGTTCGTAAAACATGAAAAAAGAATTATACGGGATTCAGCTTTTCAACCTAAATGTCAGAAGGAAGGCTTGAAAACGCCGCATACCCCTGATAGCCACTTTGAGTGCGGTCTCCCGAGACTGGTTGGGCCATCCCTATCTTCGTGCCCGAGATAGTAGTGGGGACGATCGGCCATCTCTGTCAGTATCCGCTATCAAATGAAGTCGCCTAGGCACACTTAGGCCAACAATC